TGAGTAGTTCGGACATCGAGGATATCATATATGAAAGGCCCCTTGGAGCTAGTGATCATGTGGTTCTGTGCGTTGACTACATAGTTGAGCTTCAAGTGGAGAGAGTAGCAGGAATAGGATGGGAAAAACCAAACTACAAAAGGGGAGACGACTCAGGCATGAGGAACTTCCTGCAAAACATTCAGTGGGAGAGAGAGCTGACAGGAAAACCAGTACAAGAAATGATAGACTATGTGACAACAAAATTCAAGGAGGCAGAGGAAAGGTTTGTTCCCAAGGGAAACAGAAATAATGGGAAGAACAGAACGAGTCCTTGGTTCACCCAAAGGAGTAGGGAGGCAAAAACTAGGTGTACTAGAGAATGGAAAAGATACAGAAGACAAAGAACTCAGGAAAATAAAGAGATTAGCCGAAGAGCCAGAAACGAATATGCACAGATAAGAAGGGAGGCTCAGCGACAATATGAAAATGACATAGCATCGAAAGTCAAGTCTGACCCAAAGCTGTTGTACAGCCACATCAGGAGGAAGACAACAGTCAAGGACCAGGTAATCAGACTGAGGGAGGATGATGGGGAGTTCACAGGAAACGACCGAGAGGTATGTGAGGAGCTTAACACGAGATTTAAAGAAGTATTTACAGTGGAAACCGGTAGGACTCCAAGAAATCAGAACAGGGAGGTACACCAACAAGTGCTGGATGAGGTACATATAACCAAGGAGGAGGTGAAGAAGCTGCTATGTAAACTTGACACCTCAAAAGCGGTGGGACCAGACAACATCTCTTCATGGGTCCTTAGAGAGGGAGCAGAGATGCTGTGTGTGCCATTAACAAAGATCTTCAACACATCCATTGAAAATGGGCAACTCCCTGAGGTATGGAAGATGGCAAATATAGTCCCAGTTTTTAAATAAAGAAGACAGACATGAGACACTAAACTACAGACCACTGTCACTAACGTGTATAGTATGAAAAGTTATGGATAAGATCATCAGGAGGAGAGTGGTGGAGCACTCCTCACAAGAGGTTACTGCAAGAGCTAGAGGATCAGGCACACATAACAGGAAAGGCATTGAAATGGATCAGAGAATACCTGACAGGGAGGCAACAACGAGTCATGGTACGTGACGAGGTGTCAGAGTGGGCGCCTGTGACAAGCGGGGTTCCACAGATGTCAGTCCTAGGACCTGTCCTGTTTTTGTATGTGTGAATGACGTAACGGAAGGGATAGACTCAGAAGTGTCCTTGTTTGCAGATGATGTGAAGTTAATGAAGAGAATCAAATCGGATGAGAATCAGGCAGGACTACAAAGAGACCTGGACAGACTACAAGCCTGGTACAGCAACTGGCTCCTTGAGTTTAACCCTGCCAAATGCAAAGTCATGAAGACTGGAGAAGGGCAATGAAGACCGCAGACACAGTATAGTCTAGGTGGCCAAAGACTGCAAACCTCACTCAAAGAAAAAGATCTGGGGGTGAGTATAACACCGAGCATGTCTCCTGAGGCATACATCAATCAGATACCTGCTGCAGCGTACGGGTGTCTGGCAAACCTAAGGATAGCGTTCCGATACCTCAGTAAGGAAACGTCCAAGACTCTGTACACAATTTACGTCAGGCCCATACTGGAGTATGCAGCACCAGTTTGGAATCCACACCTGGTCAAGCATGTCAAGAAATTAGAGAAGGTGCAAAGGTTTGCAACAAGACTAATCCCAGTCCTGCGAAGAAAGGTTAAGGGAAATCGACCTGACGACACTGGTGGAGAGCAGGGTCAGGGGAGACATGATAACGACATACAAAATACTGCACGGAATAGACAAGGTGGAAAAAGACGGGATGTTCCAGAGATGGGACACAGAAACTAGAGCTCACAATTGGAAGTTGAAGACTCAGATGAATCAAAGGGATGTTAGGAAGTATTTCTTCAGTCATAGAGTAGTCAGGCAGTGGAATAGCCTAGAAAGTGACGTAGTGGAGGCAGGAACCATACATAGTTTTAAGACGAAGTTTGATAAAGCTCATGGAGCAGGTAGAGAGAGGACCCAGTAGCAGTCAGTGAAGAGGCGGGGCAAGGAGCTATGACTCGACCCCTGCAACCACAAATAGGTGAGTACAAATAGGCGAGTGAGTACACACACACACACAGCACACACACACACACACACACACACACACACACACACCACACACACACACACACACACACACACACACACACACACACACACACACGCACACACACACACACACACACACACACACACACAACACACACACACACACACACACACACCACACACACACATACACACACACACACACACACCACACAAAACACAACACACACACACACACACACACCACACCACACACAAACACACACACAAACACACACACACAACACACACACACAAACACACACACACATACAACAACACACACAACACACAAAACATAACACACACACAAACACACACACACAAAACACACACACAC